GTGGGCCAGCCGAGGAGTGCCGGACCAGATTGGCTTGGCGTCCCGAGCCCAGCTTCAGCCTTCGGTCGGCTCCCTACCGTCGCAGCGGTCCCACCTCAAAGAGGAAGCCAGGAAAACAGGGAAGCCGATGTGCCGGGGTCGCACTTACCTGCGGATTCTGGATTCGCACAGGCGCCTGGAGCAGTCTACTGCTGCCTGAGCTCACCGTCGGCCCGCGCGGGGGACGACGCTGCGCGCCGCGACGCACCGACTCCCCGGCGCCCGGAGGCCGAGCCAACGGCGCCCCGGGGCCGGCCCTCCCCCGCCCCGCACCTCCCCGCTGGCACGCACATTCCGGGCCGCCCTGTCCAGAAACAGCGCAAGGAGGAAGGTCACCTTCCGTCGCAAAACGACAGAATGACGTTTCGTAACAACCGGGGCTTACACAAAAGAAACGCGCCGAATTTTGTTTTGTGGTTAACGGGAGGTTCGGCCGCCCCTGGAGGCCCACGTCCCTGTCGTCCTTTGTTCTTCGCGGCGGCACCCCGCGGTGCCTGCACTGCGCGTGTCGGGCCGCCCCTGCGCCCTGCGCCCCTGCGACGCAGCGGTGCCACTGCACTGACTACGCCCTAATCACGGCGTCTGGATCCGGGTCGTGCAGGTCGTGCAGGCCATCCAGGCCTTCGTTTCCGCCCGGCCTGCGCGCAGGCGTGCCCGCGACCGTGTAGTGCCCGGCACGTTGCGTGCGTGCGCGCCCGTGCGTGGGCTCGACCTGCAAACTCATTCCAAATAGGGCCTCGTCGTGCTGTCCCTGTCCCTCCCGCACCCGCCCCACGGTGCGCCCCACTGGTGGGACAGAGACGCTCTTCGAAATCAGCCGGCTGGTTTATGGCGGAGAGACGCACGCGCGTGTTTGACGGTGCGGTGCACGCGCTCCGGGGCGACGCCGCGCGCTCCACTGGGAAGGCTGGCGCGGCGAGGGAGACCCGCTCGGTGCGTCTTCTCGCTGGTGGCGGCCAGGACGTCCTGGAGGGCAACAAGTGTAGGACTGGCTGGTTCGGGGTGACGCGTTACGGCGCGGCGATGCGAACTCGACTTGCTGCGCCTAAGTGCCTGTAATGTATCGCGCCTAACAAGTTGCCGGCTCGCTCCACCCCACCCCACCCGACTCCCATTTCAAAACCACCCCATCACGCTCCCCCTTTAGACCCTCTCCGCAGCCCTTCGCGCAGAAGGTCATTTTTATATTTTCAATTAAGATGTGTACCCAACGATGCTTCAAGTGCGAATGGCGGAGACGGGGAGGGACGAGGGACCGGTAATAAAGGGAGAGAGTGAGTGGGAGCGGGCCTGAGGCCTGAGGCGGAACAGGAGTTGGATAAACGTTGACTGGTAGTCTGCGTACCACCCAGGCGAGTTGCGGCTGCTTCGGCTTGCCTGTCCGTCCGCTGTGTCCCCTTGATGCGCCCTGTGCCTCGCCCTGTGCGGCCCTGTGGCTTCTGTGATCCGTCCATTCAATTCGCGAGGACGAACACGGAGCACTGCACTGTCACCCATGAAACCTCCCCATGTTTGTAACTCCTGGCAAGACTTCTCCCGCAGGGACTGAGCCAGAGGGGACGGGGCGTGTTGTTGTGTTTTCCGGACCAAGAGAATGCAAACAAAAAAGTCACGGCTGCAAATGCATGGATGTGTTCAAAATGTACCTATTTTCTTCAGTGAGCCTGGTTCCGCTTGCGCCAACGGAGGCACAGTGTGTCTGTAAATACTTTTGGGTGTTCACTAAACGGAGTACGTCAGGTGGGGAACTCCCGCAGATAGGCTATTTCGCGACCGACCGGTGGTTTTAGGCCTTAATGAGCGAGCGAAAGCAGGCTACATCGCTCTGCTGCCATATCACTGCCGCACGAGGTGGGGTGGGGCGGGGCGGACCTCGTGAAACACCCCACCCTCCAGTGGCCACCGCGCGCGGCCGCGTCGGGGTTGTTGGTCTGGACACGGTCCGCTGCGCACCCCACTCGAAGGGCGACATGCGCGGCCAAGGCGCCAAGGCATGCCGGGGCTAGTCCCGGCAGCGCCAAGGGGCCAAGCCGGGCCCAGCCCGGCCAAGCGGAGACGGAGCACGCGGCCAGTCCGGCCAGTCACTGCCGGCCGTAGGCCTTTCAGGCTGTGCTGGCTTTCCGGTGTTTCGGGCCGCGCACGCCAACGAAACACCTCACCACACCAGCCTAGTGCGGCGTCTGGCACAGCGTCTGGCCTGCAGGCTGCAGCCCGCCGAGACGACATTAGCGCTGCCGCGGGCAGGCTAAGGGGAGGCCGAAACGGCAAAAAGGTCCAAAAGGCGAACGCTCTGCCGCGGCAGCCGCTCGATCGCGAGTCCCCTTTGGCTCTAACCGACGCGCCGCAGCTCTCAGCGACTCTTGCGCCTGAAACGCGCATGCCTCTGTTTTTTCCTTTCCCCTCACTTAGGCAACACTCACCGTCCAATCAAACATTCAAGAGCACTTTATGCGCAAAATCCCCCTGTGCCGCTAGCTTGCCGCTTGCTTGCCGCTTGCTTGCCGCCGGCCTGACTCGGTGCACAAGCCGGCCGGTAAACAGGCCGTGCGGCAGGAGTGCCTGGCACTGCACGACGAGGAATGTGGACTTTCAAGAAGCCTGCGAGACGCCGCACTTAATTTAGGAGTGAAATGGGCTTTTGGCAGGGCCCCGGAACGAGGTGCGCGGTGCAGGGATAACTCCAAATCCCTCTTGTTTGTGTCAAGAAAATAAAGTCCCAGTTTTTGGTAGGGTAACATGATGGGACATGAGAAACGTGCGGTGAAGGCAGAAATCATGAGAGACTGCACCCCCCCCTGTTCTATTCCCTCACCCTCCATCGTCGCTAATTGCGAAAAATTTAATCATCCTCTCATTGTTAAGGGGACGGGCTAAAAGCATGTTAATTTATACTTGCCGGACTCGTGCGAGAGGAGAATCCAAACGGTGTGGCGGGGCAGTCCGAGAATAGAGAGAGGCCTCGTGGGAGGGGTGGCGGTGGGCAGAGTGGCGCCGATGGAATTCGAGTTTTCCTGTTGGCAACACTAACAGACACGTAGAGGAGGGGGGGGGGTGCTTCCCCTACCGGCAGTCCGAGCAGGAGACCGAGTCATGCATGTCCAGGGGTCCTAGGCGCTCACCTGGAACAGAGGCTGGACTGGGTAAAAACGAGCTGCGGTTGCAGTCGCCATCACAACCTCCAAGACGAGGACAGGTCTTCTTGGTTTAGCTGCGCGGCAGAGTGCCGCCGCGGGTATGACGCAAAGCCAGGGCTCCGCGCGGCCTACGGGTCCCTCACCCCTCGCGGCCTCGCCCCTTGGGGATCCGTCGTAAACGGCTTCACGATGAGGATCAGGGCGAGGCGGCGGCACCTTTCTCACGGCCCACTGCACCGCGGCCTGCTGCAGCGCGGCCTGCTGCACCACGGCCCGCTGCACCGCGGTGGCACGCGAAGGAGGCTCTGATTAAATCCAGCAGAGTAATGAGTAATTACCCCGAGTGTACCGATGAGGCCTGCGTTACAGATTGTTTTCCCCGCGGCGACCCTCACCGTCCCCAGGGAGCAGCGCCGCCAACCACCCCGCCCCGCCCCGCCCCACCCCGCCGACGCCGCCCCCGAGGCGCTGGACGGAGGCCGCTGGTCTCCTGTGGTCACCGAGGGGTCGGCCCTCCTGCTTCCGGCACGCGGCGATGTCTGAGTCACACTGCGGGCTACCCTCGCCCCTCCCCCTCTCTTCCCCTCCCCCCTTTCCCGCCCCCTCCCTCTCCTCCCCCTCCCCCTCCCCAAAAAAGTGTGACTGCACATTTTCATTCTTTGCTCCTCCTTGAATCTGTTGCAAATCACAAAAACGTTTTTCCGTGACTAGTGCCCAAAAAATACGCTCCCCCAAAATGTTTAGATGTATGTTTGGTAGCGTCACTGGTTTCACGCGAAAATTTGAAACGCTTAGAAGTTGTAAAAGGGTGTCGTGTGGAGAATGGTGATCTTGGGTCAATGTGTCGATCCCGGCGAAGACAGCGCAACGCCTGCTGGCAGGGACTGAATTTTGCAGTGGTCGTTTCTTCCTCAGCGTGCTCGACGCTTCCCCTCTTCACTTATAGATACATCTTTCGCCGAAAAAATTTATAGAACGGTCGTAAGAGCTGCAGTGGTGGCTGGACTTTGCGGCGAGACGTGGAGACTGACGGTCCGGTCGGGCCGAACGGTTTGGTGCCATGCTTGGTGGCGCGTTGAGGCGACGCGAGGACGCGGAGACTCCATCGGGACGTTCCCATCGACTGCTGCCCCCTTTGGAGCGGCCTCGGCCGATCTCGGCACGGCGTGCGCCGCGTGCACTGCAAGGGCGGCGGGGATGGTAATTGATAGTACAACATGAAAGGGGGTGGAGGCTGCAGTCCCCTCCCGTCAGCCTGCCTTGCCAGTGCATTGCCACCGGCTTGCCACCGCGCCTTGCCTCACGCCAGCGTTGGCAGCGCATCCTCGTCTCTCCGGGACTGGTCAGTGGGCCTGCTATGCTAGTGCTGGTCGCAAATTATTGGTTCATGACACTTATTCATAGGGGTATTCCTGCATGCGACATTGTTACTCGAAGAAGTTGCTGCACTGTTTAAAGCAACATGAGGGGACACCCCTGTGCATAAGGACAGGCACCAGATATCAGTCAACAGCACAGCACAGCACAGCGACTGGAAAGCCCCTCGGGCAGAATGAGAAAATGGTGTCGCGCGTGTAACGCGGCCACCCATTTACCATGGAGGGTCCTCCATCCGTCTATTCTCATTTACCCCAGTCGCTGGACAGTCTTTTAAGCACCGAGTACAGAGTGGTAGCCCCCCGGTTCCTCGAACATTCAATCTCGTGATGAAGCCCAGCTCGGTTTGTCCGGACTGACCGGGCGCCACAGACCGTGCGGCCGCTTTTCAGCGCAAGGCGACTGCGGTTGTTCCTGTCTGGCTGCGTCCGAATGTGTTGCACGCCGGTTCTAATCACCGTCCGTCTCAACTTGACCAAACACCAAGGAAGCTCCAAGCAGTTTAGTTTGTAGAGAATACGTGTAAGCTTTTAACGTGAAAGGAATGTCTGAGGAACAACACGACAAAAATATAATACGGTGAGGGGATTCGTTTGCTTTATTTTGACTCTAGGGATAACAAATATACACATCTTCATTTTGATCATTATATATCTCCTCTATTGCGACGGAACCGAAAATGGATGTCATTTATTTTAATAAGGAAAAGGTAACTAACACACAGATCTGATTTTTGTGTGGCTATGTTCCAGAACCATAACGGCAATTGTTTTGAGTGAAGTTAGCGGTACCGCGTGCGATTATGCTTACATTTCACAAAATTAAAGAACCTATAGATGATTATCAAAACGATATTGATATGTTTACATCTACACAACTGTTTTTTTTTTTTTAAGAAGAAAACAACTTGAACTCAAACGTTTCCGTGTCTATTGTGACTCAATAATACAGTAACTCAGAGGAGCAAGGAACTCGGATTAGAAATGTGAATTCAGATTGGGAGGGTGAATTAATTTTGTCCTGACACTCAAACAACGCTCATTCAGCGGCATTAATACTTCTAGGGTTAAAAAAATTCCAAACTGCTTGGCTGAGGGTAATGCTATAGTCGCGCTACAGCCTATCATTGGCTACGGTGTGCAACGGTACCGGGAGAAGGAGGGGGCAAATTGAGTGTGTGTGTGTGTGTGTTTGTGAGTCCGGGTGGATCTCATTTAGCACACGGCTAGCCGTGTGGTTAAATTGGGGACTTTCCGCGATGCGGCTGTGAGAGCGAGGGAGAAAGAAAGAGATGTATAGCTGCGCCTAGGCCGCTAGCTTTCAAATTAGAAATCCGCCCCGACGCAAGTCAGTCTAAACGACTCTGTCTAAATACACGACAATCATCACAATAAAAAATGTCTGCCAAGTTTGGACAAAGTTTGCTGAAGATTTGGCTGCACGGCCGCCAGTCCAATTGGCAGTGTACGCTCACGCCACACCGAGGACAGGGCCAGGATGGCTCTCCCGGCCACTCAGTGCTGCTCGTCAGAGTGATTGGGTTATTCAAATGCTGCGCGTCCTCCGCGGCCCGCTGGCTTGTCCCCTATGACGGCGCTGACGCACTCCTTGACCTGCTGGCGGGGCTGGCGGTGCACTTGACGAGATTGCCCCGCCCTCCATAGAGGCCGTGGCGGTGGCCCTCACGGTGAGAGGGCTGAGGCCAGCAGCAGCATGGCCACGGCCATGGCCACGGCCAGCGCCGAGGCGCGCGTGGCCGCCGCGCCGGCTTTCACTGCAACAGACATCGGAGAAATGGTTCATCATCATCGCCACACCCTGCATGCGCCCCTCCATGGCCCCTCCCTGCACCCACTTTCCCCCCGCCTCGTGTCATTACAGCCACTTTTGGGTGAAAAGAAGGAAAAAACAGGACCCATTTGGGGGAATACTTGGAACCGCACCCCTGTCCCAGCCCACCATGCACCCCATCGAATTTATGTTAGGGAAAGAGAGCTTCTTTTTGGGGGCGAGGGGGAGGTACCATCACCGTTACGAACCATCGAAACAATAGAGCCGATCGAGAACACGCGGCAAGCCACCTCCAGGTACTCCGCCCCGGGAAACGCAAGAGAGGTGAAAGAGATTTTCAACGAAATGGTGAGCTGTCGGTCCAAATTACTGCTGACGTGTGACTGACTGGCCGAGAGGTCGCAATGCCACCACTTTATATATTCAAACCGCTAGGTTCGTCCATGATTGAAAACGCGGTCGTGCCTCGGCTTGAGCCGAGACGGCCCGTATTAGTGCCCACGTGCCGCGCGGTAGTGAGGTGCGGCCCTTATGCCCTCACGCCCTCATGCACCCATGCCACCCTCCGCCGGAGCAGGGCCGTTGCAAGGCGAAACAAGACGTGGGCGCTCATCTCCCCGACAAACACCTCTCAAATTTGGGTTTTCTCACTTGATAAAGCACAGGAGATATATTTGATTTGAGCCATAATTGCAGAGAAACTTCGTCAAAGAGGAACGCAAGAGCAGGCCGCGGATCGTTCACGTCTCTCTTGTGCTTATGATGAAAAGCACATTTGTTTCAATGAAATAATTTACTTGGTCAAAGAACCCTGACCGCATCTGACCAAAAATAAACTCGAAGATTTAAGCGTGGGACATACACTACTAGAGTGGAAGCGAACGGGTGCGCTAGGTTGTCGTGCGGCGCGGTGTGGCACGGAGTAGCGCCCCCCCCCCCACCCGGAGGCGCACCCGAGTCCCACTAACGAAATGAAAGAAAGTGCGGCCCACCCCCTCCCCCCGTCGGGCTGTCACGCGTGAGTGCAGGCGGCCGCGGCAGCCCCACCAGCGTGTGATGATATTTATCTATGCAAATGGAGAGCGACGTCTGGTCACGCTTGCCACGCTGTCGCGGTGCAGGCGCTACCTTTCTCCGCGGACTGCCGGTTTAGGCCAGATGGCCGCTGGCAAGCGGCCGGGGACTTTCTTTTCGACCAGCCACACGTGCCACACTCATGGCAGCCCGTCGCCCTCCCTGTCTACCGCAAGGCTTACGCGGTTTACTCTCAACAGCAACATTTCATCCCCGTCACGGATTTGGGTCCTAAAGATTACTGCGCGGGTTATGACATCGCATCCCGGGTTCCCGTGCCTCGTGCATTGTTTGTTGGCTGGATTCCTTCTCGCGCCGTCCCCTCGCCCTCCTCAAGTTATTAGCCATATCCAAGCCCAATCTCACCTTAATGGCACGAGACCGACTCGACAAAGTTAGCTTCTTACGGATGATAGCGGCCCGGAAAAGCGTGAGACGTGCCCTGGGCCGTCAACCTCAGGTGTTTGATAGGGAAACACGGTGGCCTTCGACCCCTTCACTTCGCGAGTAAGTCCGTCAGAGTGAAAGCAACACAGTATCACTAAGGAAACTCATGTCAGTACACTCAGAGCACTCCCCTGGTAATGCAGTTGCCCTTGGAGTGTGCGCATGCAACCGCAAAAAGGAGAGACGCTTTGTTTTGCGTCGAGCGTGGACGCCACTGGTTCGATGAAGACTTACCCAGGAGCCGCGCTTCCCGGTTGTCGATCTCCATGGCTATCCGCGGCAGTGGCTGGTGGTGGCTGTGCTTGGTGGGCAAGGACGCGGCCGTGGGGTTCGTGCGCTCGGGGGCGGCCTGAGCAGGGGCGGCCTGAGCGGGTTCTTTTGGCTGCTCTGACGGCCGGATGGTGGCGACGCAGCGCAGCGCCATGTTTCCGTCCTGGAAGTGCTGGGGGCCGACCTGCACCACGAGGCGGGCGTGTGTCCGCACCAGGCCGTGGGCCGACATCTGGGCCTCCAGCGTGGGGTCAACCTGCCAAAGATCCACACGCTTTATCCTAGGTCAAATTTTATTGTCTTGTGTAAGACCCCTTGATTTTCACTCACGACAGTTTTCAAACTAGTTTTTACTATGAAATCTTACGTACACTCTAAAGTTGGAGTGCCCACAAACTGGGCGCCTTACCACGCACCTGTCTGTCGTTGATATACCAGCGGAGTTTTGCCGGTGGGAAGCTGCGGTCCGAAGTGCAGTTGACACTGAGCGTGTCCCCCATCTGGTATTCCGCACGGTCCAGTCTCGATATCTCGGGGCCTCGCTGTGGCAGCGCTGCAACACGTTCAGATCAAACATTTAGAAGCATTTCCATGTTTACTCGTTTGGAAATAGCGGACGATCCACCCCGCGACCAGATCGTCCCTGCGCGCCTCTTCCAAGCGCGCTATTTCAGTGAGAGCAGGGGCAACCAGCGAGGGGCAGGAAATACCACCATCCGAGAGGCCGGATGCCCGACTGCGCTGCTACAGCCGATACAGCCGGTTGTCCCTGCACCTTGCCATGCCCGTTGCCTGACTACGCTGAGCCTCGTTCTAGACCACCCAGCCGCGGGACATTGCAAGGGTACTTGGCGAAATGTGGAACGAAGAAAACACAGTCACGACTTATCGATTTTTCTTTAGATTGATCCTGTGGACTTCCCCAAAACAGAACAAGGTCTAACCTAACAAAAAAAAGTCCAATGCTAATCGCATTGCCAGGTGTTCCCATTTTCATAACTGGTTTAAAAGTAAGTTATGAAATACCAATAAAAAGGCGTCCTGGTTTGGGAGCGGTATTGCAGCAAATTTTGTCGAAACTGTAACATATTCGTAGAAATCGTGGTTTGGCCTGACTTTAGGCAGCCACTGCATCTAATCTAAGGTGGCTAATCGTTCTCCCTCAACGGATGGGTACTCTTTGGGCCTTTCCTTAGAACACCATTGTTACGGAGTGCGAGTGCACACACACACACACACACACACACACACACACACACGACAATCGGTACAGAAGCCAAACGATTTTTTAAAGGTGGAATCCAATAAAAATGAAATATTTTAAAGAGATTGAAAACAAGCCGGACGACGGCAGAAGAACCCCATGGTCATGGGCGGCCTTGGGGCTTGGCAAAAAAAGTTAATGAAAAACATCCCGGAAAAACGGGGGAGCTCTCGGCTGATAGGTTACATGTGTGCGTTAGCTAATATACGGGCCGTGGGCATGCGATTCACCCCCCTCCCCCCCTTTCTCACCCTTCGCCGTAGCCGCTGGCGCCATAAACCAGCGTATTGGAATGCAATAATGGGCACGGAGTCCCATTCTTTTCCGGCTGGCCTACGTCGCCTGCCTGTGGTTCTTTGTGGTCACCGATCTAGTTGCCGAAAAAGAAGCGGCAACGCGCGCGCTGGCAGCCGGCGAGCGTCCCGGGCCGATCCGCCCAACCAGCTTGAACAAACCCGAACAAACCTGCCGGTGAGCCCGGGAAGCCACCGGTGGGTGTTCAGTTACCTCATGCGCCGTTTGCGAGGAATACGAGAAGTCACGTTACGTTCGTTAACGTTCGTTTAAAGCACATGTGCCACGAAGGCCCTTCAATTTCCTGTTTGGCACGGACTGTTCATCTGACAGTTTAATGAATGAATGAATGAACGCATTGAAAATGAAGGATGCTGACTGATACTCACCGACCACCTCGAGACGGCCCTCGCCATGCACGGTCTGGAAGGAGGGTGCCTCCGCCGACACTTCGCAGCGGTAGTTGCCCGACGACCTGAGAGTCACGCTGCGCAGCACCACAGTGCGCTCGTCCGAGCTCCGTTCCTGCCAAAGTTGAAGGCCACCGGCATTAGGGCACGGATAATATCCTCTTTTACCGACATTGAACAACAAAAAATGAACGGGAGCCGCCAAACGATCGCCAAGCCACCACACCAGTTCGGAGACCGCCTTGGCGGGAGGACGTGGAAACAGCACGTCCTTGGGGAGACGTTCGTGCGTGCGCTAGAGTTACCGGGCAGGTAGTAGATGCTCGGTTGCCGGGCGGACCATTTCCACGGCGAATGGAACGGATTTGGCAGACGAAGGGACCTTCCACTTCAAAGGGCGGTGGGTGACGCGGAGTGCCTGCGGACGCCGGCGGGCATCTTCGGGGAGTGCAGCTAATTACAGACGACATTCGCGTCAGAGGGAGGGCTTTGAGAATTAGACGGAGGTACGGAGGATGACAATTGAGGCCACGGCCCTCCCCGCAGCATCTGACATCGCCCTGAGCCAACATGGCCGAGCGTTTCAATAATGAGGGAGGGGGATCGTGTCAACGGGGGGTCCTGACACGCCGTGTGTGGTCGCCCCTGTTGCATTACTTCTGCATGGCGACCGATGGTAGAGCATAGTCATTCCAGCCAAAGCTAGGGATTCTCGTGACCTACTACACTGCGAGAAAAAACTACAGAGAATCCTGTTAATTTTCTCACAGCGTCGCTCTGTACCCAAAACTACAGTGATCTCTGTCTTTTAAAAGACGGAGCTCACTGTTGTTTTTTGTGTTCATCTCTCTGTTGTCCTATCGGCCAATGCCACATCGGGACGGCATGGCCAAAGCCTTATAGGTCACCGTTGGGTCCCCGAGGGCGTCGACGGGCACCTCACAGGGTCCCCGATGGCGATGCGAGCATTTTAGACCTAGGTTCCGACCATTCGCTGAAAACGTCTCGTCAAGATCTACTCGAATCAAGAATAAAAAAATTTTCTTGGTCAACCCCCGTTTTTCAAGATTCTGATTGGTCAACTGGATCTTAAAAAAACGGGGTTGACCAAGAAAATTTTTTTATTCTTGATTCGAGTAGATCTTGACGAGACCTTTTCAACGAATGGTCAGAACCTAGGTCTAAAATGCTCGCATCGTCATCGGGGACCCTGTGAGGTGCCCGTCGACGCCCTCGGGGACCCAACGGTGACCTATAAGGCTTTGGCCATGCCGTCCCGATGTGGCATTGGCCGCTCGGACAACAGAGAGATGAACCCAAAAAACAACAGTGAGCTCCGTCTTTTAAAAGACAGAGATCACTGTAGTTGTGTGTACAGAGCGACGCTGTGAAAAAATTAGCAGGATTCTCTGTAGTTTTTTCTCGCAGTGTAGAGTGCGAAACAGCCCCATCCACCCCCAAGTCCATCCGCACTAGTTTCCGCACGCCCCTGCCCTACGGAGGGATTTGTAGCGGTTGCAAGAATCCCTATCTTTGCCTGGGACGACTAGCACGGAATCGACTTTCACCACTTTCAAGATTATCGCGAAAGTGTTGCTACTTACGTCCACGTGCACGCCGTCCACAAGGTAGGAGTGCTTTGGGTTGTTGGCGGCGCGCGGCACAAAGCGGTAGATCTCGTCGTGGTCCTTGTACCACGTCATGGAGTAGAGGCGGTCGCTGCCTAGGTCGAAGTCGCACATCAGCGAGGCCTTCTCGCCCCGCAGCACCACGGCCGGGATGTTGACCTGCAGCATGCGCAGGCTCGTGGCACCTGCAAACAAAGGCCCCGTAAAAGCGCATGCCAAGGAGTGCCAAGAAATGCCGCTGGCGCTTGCGATGCGCGTCGTTAAAATAGACCAGACTAAACAATTCATCCCCATCATCGCTGCAGGTGACGCATCACTTATTACCCCAGTCAGTTTGCCCGGGGACAGATCTAGAGTGAAGCCACACGCATGACTCCTCGCCTTCAGATAGGTGAAAAAAGGTTTGACAGGGCCCCAAAAATTTCCTTCGCCGCCTCTGCATGCTGCGGGGTGCATGAGGAGCGTGGCCCGACTTTCTCATGAATATGATAATAGAATTGCCATCCCGCTCTTTCGGTTAAATGGAATAACGAGGCTTCACCGCAGTGGCCGGAGCTGCTAACTCTAATTTTCGAACCTAGGTGGCAACCCACCGATCGTATCACGTTGATCACGTCCGCGGATGGCAATGTGAATGGGATGATGGAGAAGGCCTTGGGGCTCGCAACAACACCACCGAAGGCGCATATCAAGGAGTGCCAAGAAATGCCGCTGGCGCTTGCGATGCGCGTCGTTAATAAGATAGACCAACCTAAACAATTCATCCCCATCACCGCTGCAGGATACAAAACCGATTCAAAATTACCCGAAGCAATGGGTGAGAGTGTAAGACTTTCGGGCGTGTAGCTTATTGTGCTAAATGTCAACGGGTGGTGCCCCGGTGCCCCCGCGACGCACTCGACCTATGCCGTCTCCTCATCAAGGCGCCCTTCGCACACCGCCCTGCCTGGCCCTGCTGCACTGTGCTGACCTGTTGAGGCGAGGTCGAAGTCCAGCCCGACAAGCGGGCGGGCCGGCAGGCCGGCAGGCTACCTCGCGGTGTACTGGTGCGGCCATTCCTTTTCGCGTGACGGGCGCAAAGATTTCCGGCAGGCCATATAAGCAAAGCCCCGGCACGCTAGGCCAGCAGCCGGCTCGAGCTCACGGCGAACTTTCCCCTTAGTTTGGGTGTGAGTCAAAACCACAATGGAAATTATTGTGACAGCAATGCCGAAGAGGAGAGACAAAACAACTCCAAACGCAACGAAAAATCAACATTTGAGGGTAGCATAACTTGGCTGTCGTTCAGTAGCTTTCTGGTAGGCACTCCTATAGCGCCTTCCAAATTTGGAAACTCTATCTCAACTCCCCCCTTGTACACAGATGACGACGACGACACACAGATACAAAGGCAAATGAATAAGCCCTCCCCCTATTTTTTGAATAGAAGGGCGGGCCAAAAAGAGGCACTGTCAGGAACTCGGTTTGAATCGGGCGGCGAGCTAGTCGCTCCGAGCTCCGACAGACGCATTAAACTCAATCAGACCACCGGGCGTGTCCCTCGGCCGGAGCCGCCGCCGCCGCCTTGCTGCCGCCCCACCCCGCCGCGACTGACGTCGAGCCGTTAGGAGTGGGATTTCCATGGAAATGAGGTCCGTGCACGAGACAGGTCAAACATCGCTGTCATTGACTAGAGAGTAATTGATGCCTCGTTCGGCTTTCGGTTCCACTCAGCCAACCCGACCACTGCGCTCTATTCACTCCAGTCGGCTGCAATATGGATGGAGCATTGCAACGCATCAGTGTGATGCGCCGACCCGTCGAGGCAGCGCGCGGTCGAGCATGACGTGGGCGAGCAGCAACGCCACCCACCTGGGCGCCAGCCGCCTACCGCACGCGCGGGCCACCGAAGACCCTCTCAAATCACACAGCTTGGCTGCGTCAGCCACGCCCCGCATCACCCCGCTTGCGGCGAGAATGTGTATCGCGAGGGCTTACATCGGAAAGCGTTTCGCCCTCAGCGGCGCAGAAGAACGCTCCGAGCATGCGCGAGAGGGGGTGGGGGCATGAAAAGTTAAGAACGATGCCAATGCCTTGCACTGCACACATGTGGCACTGCAGCGAGCCGTACATCGCGTCGGCAAAGTTTGGCACGCGGCCTGCCTGCCTGCGTTCTGTGCGCAGCGCGGCAGCAGCAGCGCGGCGTCAAGACGGCCAGCACACCCGCTGGGCCCGGGCGTTCCGGTGTGGCCTCACGCGCGTCGTGCGGCATCCGTCGCCGTTTTGCCCAATCCCCCACCCCCTCCCTTGTGGGTGCCACGACACCACTCCGACCCGTCGGACTATGTCGGACGGCGACCCCAATCGGTGTGAAGTTACGTCGAGGACTTGATGGTCAGCAAGTCACGCAGCCGTGTCGTCGAGCGCGGTGAGGCTTGGGACGACTACATCGCTAGCGAAGCTTCGAACGGTATCGATTTTGTGATTAGCGGCCCCGGGTAATGGACGTAGGGCCGTCTCTGTTGTGACGCGGCCGACCCAATAGGGAAGCAGAGGTACGTGCCGGCAGCGTGTTTACGATGTGGTCGCTCCGACAGAACTCGTCGTCTAGCTGCCATGGATGTTCAAACTGAAAACGGGCATACCCATTCGCATTCACCCTCTCACCTCTACATTCCGTTGCAGTAAAACGAGAAATCGAATGAGCGCCTCTCCTCCTGAATCTCCATATACTTACCGGATGACAGCAACAGGAGGAGGCACACATTGAGGAGTGCGACGAGGCCCAGTGCCATCTTGGAGGACCTCTCAGGACATGTTGGTGGTGCTTGGAGTCACATCCCAGTCACATCCCTGGACCCGTCGACCCGTCTACCCGCCTCGGCTCCTTGATTGGAAATCGCGCCAAAGTAATTACTGCGCTGTCTGAGGTGCTGCGCACTGCGCGCCGCGGCCTCCGAGTCTCCGAGTCGGCGGCGCCTGCAACAAAGGAAGAGGCGTCAAACGCAGTCGGCGGAAAGATCGGCGACGCTGTGCCTGTCTCTGGCCGCCTAATTGGGGCAGCAGACAGGTGCGCCATGGCGGGCCACCTGCCCGGCTCGCGAAGGCTCGCCTGCTCGAGCACGTTTCGAAAGCTAGGGCGTCTCACGGTGCCTAAGGAACCTGTTTACGCCTCTCGGAGCCCAGAGGGGTTCGCGTCACCCCATCATCCCACGCCCCAATTACAAGCGAGTGAAGTGTCGACAAACAAACAACAAGTCAGCGCAAATTTATGTCAAGTTTGTCGGGTTTTTAAAACATCATTTTTTAAAGAGCCCCCTTTCCTCTCAGGCTCATCTCCCGCTGTTTTCTTTGGAGCCAATCAGAGGGCCTCATCAGAGCACTGTCCGCCCCAGGCAGGACATCCCGGGACGTCCCCGGGATCCGAGAGGTCCATGAGGGAGGGACGCGCCGCATCACGGACCGCCTCATATTTTACTAGCCACGGGCAGGACGAGGACCTCGCTGAGTGGCTGGGTACCTCGCACTGCATGCGTGGCTCTTTCCAGAAAAGCAAGTCCTCCTTTTCATCCAAACCTCCCATTCAGCTTTATATAAATGGACAGCTCTCAGTGGTAGAGTAACGTGTGTTTGCACACCTCCGATTTTCAATGTAAATGGTGCGTGGAGGGGGTGGTGATGGGTGTGAGCAGAGTCCAGCAGAATCCATGAGTGCATTCACCAAAAGCTATTTTCGGTCGGTGTCAGAAGGAAAACAAAATGACAAATGGTAAAATGAGGGGGTGAGAGAGAGAGAGAGAGAGAGAGAGAGAGAGAGAGAGAGAGACAGAGAGAGAGAGAGAGAGAGAGAGAGAGAGAGAGAGAGAGAGAGAGAGAGAGAGAGCCACAGTAATCTCTGAGCCGCGCGGATTTTGACGCGGCGGCGCTGCGGGGCAGCCATTGAATTAAAGTAGCAAAACCGCCTAATGACCTGGCTGGCTGCCAGCCTGCTGCCGGGCGGCACGACGAGGCTGGCTGCCTGGCTGCCTCACGCTAATCCCTCAAATCACTGAACCGGATCACGGCCCGGGTTGCCATCGAGGGGCTGCTCCAGCACGCCCTCTAAAAAAATAACGGCTAAACACGTAATTTTCTTCCCGGGCTCCTTGAGAGGTAAGGGGCGCGGACACGGCCAGGAGAGTCTATCAGGCGGCCTCATAAGCCATCTTCCCAGGACTGTATTCCGCATTCCACTCTGGCAGAGGGCGCGGCCAGCGCGGCGCGGTCAGCCACCCCCGGGGAGGTCGTCGAAGTAGGTGCGCTCGCTTTTCCCGGAGCCCCGCGGGCTGGCGAGCCGCCAAGTGAGGCCCCCCCCCTCCCTCAACCCCGCCCCGCGAGGCCGTCATACGCGATTACACCCTGCAGGACGGACTGCTTACGAGCAGTGGCGCGTGGCGGTGTGATTAGGCCCTCTTCGTCGTCGCGCCGACCCTCGAGGACTCTTCCTCGCCGCCTGGCTGCCCCTGACCTGGTCTCCCCTGTCCGCCCTGTCTGAGGATGATGAGACTTCCTCCTAGACGTTCAATACTTTACCGCAGCCGCGTGAAGGCCGCCGAGTAGTTTATTCATGCCGACTCTATGCCGACGGGCTGAGGGTTGACTGGCTGGTGTTGCATACCGCCAGGCCTGGCATGCGACACTCCTGGCTGCGACGCGGAAGCTCTTGCGAAAAACGATGCGCTTGCAGAGGAAAACAAAAAGCGTGACGAGTCAGCCGATGCGCTCGCGATGAAGGCGGTGCTGCTCCTCGCCGGCGGGCAGGTTTACCAGGTTCGCCTCCCTTGAGGGAAATTGCCGGAAATGAAATATGAAGCACCTGCCAATATTCGGCGCTTCTGAATCATCATTCCGCGTTCCGCCCCTCCATTCGCACGGGGCGGGGCGCCGGGGCGTCGCGCTGGATCTGATTAAAATAATATAAAACGCCTGGTAATGAGGTCCCGGTGGCGGCGCGGCGGCGCGGCGGCAAGTCCCCGGCCGGCCGGGCGGCGCGTCGAACCGCTCGGGGGGCGGCCCGGCCCGGCCCTCGGCCTGGCCTATCTCGCGCACTTATCGCGTGATTTACCGCCAGGGCTTGACTTGGCGCCTTCTAAATCATCGCAGGTGTGCCAACCGCTGCATAGGCCGGCCGGCCGGCCCCACCGGACCGCTCTGCCCGGCACGGACTGGCTGGCCAGCCTGACGCCGTCGGCTGCCGTCCCGTCGTTCTGTCGTTCGCGGCCGGCCGTCCGCGCGTCCAGATTAACCATGATGCGTTAGTTTAGTTTGGCGCGCCGAGCCGACCTGCCGAGTGCGGCGTGGCGCGGCGAGAATGGCCCTTGCCTTATCACCGCGGAGCGCTGGCCAGCCGCAGTGCGAGCAAAGTTTCGTACAATAAACACCGGGGCGGGCCGGCCGGGCCTCGGGCTGAGGGGGGAGGCGCCGCCACCGCCACCGCGCTGGGAGAGGAGGGGAGGGGAGGAGGGGAGGAAGGCCTGCTGCAGGATGTGATCATAGCTCCCGCCACTCGCAATTCATTTTATTGGAGGATATAATGCCCTGGGGAATTTTTCCTCCAAGTAAAAGTTGCCGAAGGAATTCGGTGCCGCAGGCGTCGCTCGAAGCAGGCATCCGCGTCAGGGGCGCGCGCTTCGGCAGCTTCGCGAGCGCCGCTCGGCATGCGGCCGACTCTCGTGGCACCCCGTGGCTCTTCACGGCTCTTCGTGGCTGTTCGGGGCTGTCCGGGACTCTTCGCGGCTCTTCGCTGCTGTTTCGCAGCGCGGCATCCTGGCGATGGCGGCTTCCTCGAAAACGCGCCCCTCAGCTTTCTTCTCTGCACTTGTTCGAGCAGCTGCATTCATTCGCGGGCGGGGCCAGGGCGGCCAGGGCGGCCAGGAACAACAGGCGGCCGATGGTCCGTGCCCGCGGCGGGATAGCAATTAACGCGGAGGAATCCCAATCCAATGGAGTGATGTGAAATTTGTCTGCAGGGCTGCTGACTCGGGCGTCTCTGCCTTATCAGGGCTCCATTATTCTCCAGCAGCCTCCAGCTGACGGCCCGTCGACGAGCCGGGCGCCGCGAGGCGCCGCGACAGGTCAACTTTCTTTCCTCGACTGCGGGTCGCCTTTGGTGCTCGCGCTGGCTCCGGGATTGCCAACAAAAATCGTTGACGCGGAAGTTCGTCCTTCGTCCGCCTGCCCAGCAGTGCCAGCGGTGGGGCCGGCGGCGACCTCAAACGCCGCTGATTTTTGGCTGCGCGCTGGATGCTCGCAGGTTGCTTGCTCAGAAATGCTGCCGTCTTCAGGGAATCTAATATTTAACTCCTGGAGTGCAGTAAGCTGTCACACCGAGCGCTAGTGTTGCCGCATGGTGGAGAGCAGTCTCCCAAAAATCCGCTTAAGCCACAGCCCGCATTGCAGCCGTCGATTGCAGTGTACTGGCCGTTTTGGTTTTTTATTATTTCGGGCAAGGCGAGCGAGGGTCTCCGTTCTGCAGAGACGCAAAGGGCGGAGGGGCGCCCCTCGAGGCTCCCGGAGTCCTTGCCATGGCCTTGCCAGTCAATATCAGGCTCGTTTTCCCTGAGCTGGCACTCCGCAGCCCTGTGGACTAATCTCCGGGCCGAACGAGGCGAGTCCCGCTACTCCATGTCGCTGCGCTGCACCACTTCACATGGCGGGCCGCGTCGGCGGCAACCGCCCGTGAGCCGCTCCAGCAAGTGCCCGCCAACAAGCTCGAGTGAAAGCGCGACTTGCTGCTGCAGACGAAGAAAAGTTTGATCCGTTCGAGGGCCTGTTCCCTCCAGCCAACCGGTCACGGGATCTGATTCACCCCGCTGGGGGCGCTCAGGAGGCTCGGCTGCGTGCCGCGTGCTGCGCGAGGACAAAACGCGGCGACCCGCGGCGACCGAAAACAGCCGTCGGCTAGGCTCGGCCGGCTCGGCCCTCGGCTTGTCGAGTGGACACCGCTACGCCGCGACGCCACGACGGCCCCTGCAGCTTCCGCGACGCGCCACGCGCTCTGTGCGGTTATAATTGAGTTGTTGGAGTCGCCTTCCTCGAACAGCGGGGTGCGGCGTCGCGTCGCGAGAGTTCCTGGCGTTCCTGGAGTCGCCCGCCCAGCCGGCAGTGCAGCCCAGAGGCCCTGCATGACCCTCCCAGCAGAGTCTCCGCTTTTCCTGCCCCGCGAAGAAGGCGCGTGCATTCCACCTGATGGGACATTGTGCTTGGGGCCAGTCACCTGGAAAATCGCACTCCAAAGGATTTATAGCAGCAGACCCTTTTTATTGAGTCTTTTCGTGCTGCTTTCGGGATGCTTTGAGAAGCTCATACCTCTTTCATTCTTTATTCTGTCTGCAAGAACATAGATATGACGGGGAAGCCAAGTGGAGAACTTGGCATTTAACTGATTTCCAATCAAACTAAATATGTTCAAACTTTTTTATTTTTTTGGACCGCTATGGGAAGCCTTGAAGTACTTTCGCGTCGCGTCAATAAGAGTCCTCGATGCTTCACTCCCTTTACTCACTTCTTCAGCCAAAGGAGTTCCTAGAATTGGTCCGTTGTCCTATTGGCCAGCGGGCGTCGCAGGCCAACCGCATCAACGGAAACGGGGTGCAAGGCGAAGACAAACTGAAATCGAAACTTCCCGGGCAGCCGAGAGAACCCAAGTTAAAGCCGGGCGGGGGACGCGGTCGCGGTGAAGACGAGACGAGGCGTATTGTTTTCCTTTGGCAGAAAGTTTGCTGTCCAAAAACGGCGAGTTTGCTCAGTGTATGTAGATACAGCGCTGTAGACTCGACCGAGAAAGCCGCCTGTTTGGCTCTGTTTTCGCGAACCATCGTCACCAACTCCGGTCACAATGTTGTCGACATAATTGTCGCCTAAAGTTTGGCTGCTGCGCCTCCAACTCGTTCTCTCTATCTTGGCGCAAACTTTGCAAACGCAAAAAAAGGCTGCGTGCTCGGCGGGCCAAAGTGCTCTTGAGCAAAGAGACCCCTGCAGCCCTGGCAGCCCAGCAGGTCCGCGCTAATCTGCCCCCGACCAAACCAGCGGCTCCGCCAAGTCTCGCCCAGCCTCGGCCAGCACGGGCCATCCTGGGCCATCCTGGGCCAGCCTGGGCCATCCTGGGCCTCCCTGGGCCAGCGGCCTGGGCCAGCGGCCTGGGCCAGCCTGCAGCCGCCCGTGGTCGTCCACTTTATGACTGACGGGCAGAACGCGGTAACGCCGCTCTCTTTGTTGATAAAACCGCTGCCAGGCTGCCAGCGGTCCGTCTGTCCATCTGGACGTTGTGGCTTTGCGGGCTTGCTCCGCTACCGGCTGCCGCGCAGTCCCCAGGGAAGTCCCGCCGCTGCGCGCGCCGCGTGCAGGGCGTGCAGGCGTGCAGCGGGCTGTAAAACGGGTTGCAAACGGACGGGCGGACGGGCGGGCCGCCCTTCGGCGGGGCCGTTAAAGGAATCATTTACATACCGGCAGTATCCCTCGGGGCTCGGCTCGCCGGGCTCCCTTGTATCCGTAAGCAGGGCGCCGCTAGCACTGCGCAGCGCAACCACAACAACGAGCACAACGGAGCCACGCACGACGGACACGCGACGTCGCGCTCCCCGGCCGGCACGCACGGGCTGCGGCCCCGCTTGTTGCTGGACGCGGTGCTGGAGGAGGACTGCCTGGCGCCGCACTCCAGCGCCGCCACCGCCACGCGCCGCGCGCCGCCACCCCCGCTGCCACCCCCGCCGCCGCCACCCCCGCCGCCGCCGCCGCCTTCCCCGCTGCCCCACCCGCCGCCTCCACCTCCGCGCAACGCCGACGCTCACGCCTCAGGGACCTCGGTGCGGTGGTGTTGCTGTTAGGATTCATTACTTGTTTTTGTTTTGTTTGGCGATGTGTGTCATTATCCTTGCCGTCAGGTGCGTCAGGTTGACCATCCACGTGTCGCTGGCCTTCTACTCTACTCATCTCACCGCGGTTGTTTTTAGCAGATGAGACATCGTGGTTTATTCAGAATCCAGAAGGGGAAAAAATGGCGCCGACAAAAAGATATTGGACGCGCCTGTCTGTCTGTCTGTCTGTCTTTCTGTCTGTCTGTCTGTCTGTCTGTCTGTCTGTCTGTCTGTCTGTCTGTCTGTCTGTCTGAGTTCATGATTCTCTAGGTCGAGGAACTCCTCATACGGATGTCCTTAACGCGTTCCGGCATGCGACTTGACTGTCTGGGAAGATTGAGAGACTCTGAGAAAATAGAGTACCGGAGTACACTGTCCTCGTTCGATATTTTCGGGTGCGTGGTGTCCGGCATGTGATGACGAGCCCGCAATAAATCCTTTGATTCGGCAAAGCAGCAGCGGCTGGTACAGAGCCCAGCACCGACGCTCAGGCACTGTTCGTTTCGTCCCACTCGCGACCGGATCATTATACTTGCCCCGGCTACTCGTTCTGTTTCGCTCTGCTTACTGAGTCCCGTCCAAATGAGCCCCATTTGCTGACCCAGGTGGAGGGGGAAGAGGCGTGGGACAAGATTTGAGGGGGTAGTCGATTACAAAGCAAGAGTGCCCGGATTCGAAACCAGCCGTTCCCCAATAGGGGAATTTTCGAATTTCAGGTTTCTTGCGACGCATCCCTGCCGGGCAGTATTCCACCGACGCGTCGGGGTGTTGATTACCGCAAAACGCGATTTGTGGTTATCAACATCCTAAAAATACGGTCTGGCGCTGAGAAAAACGGACGCCCTTGCCTGGGGTCGAACCTCAGATCTGCCTTGAGCGAGACAGTCGCTGACCGGGGTCCGAATCTCCGGATGTCTCCGGATGGACGATTCGCAAATGAGTCCCGTCCCGTCCGGGCTCTGCCGACGAAGCCACCCCGTGGAGGTGCGAGGCGAGACGAGGCGCCGCGCCATCTCGCGGCCGTGGGCGCGGCGCGGCGCGCGGGGTATCGGCGCGGCACGGCTCCACGCCGCGGACGCAGTGGACGCAGCGGACATACCCCCGGCTCCAGCGCGGCGACGTGTTGCTCGCGGACCAGCACCTCGGCGAGGTTCGGCGGCCACCGTCCCCGACCGTGGAGGGCCCCGACGGTTGTGCAATGCGAGGGTGTCTGGCCGGGACGGTGTTGAATGTCACCCCTCTCTCTCTCTCTCTCTCTCCCTCGCTGCAGAAGGGCCTCCGCACCGCGTAATCAGTTCGCACAAAGTTTCTGTCAAACAAGGGCCACGGCAATTTTTCAATCACTGGCTTGGCACAATCTCCTCGGTCAATATTTGAGCGGCGAGCGGCGCGGCCGCCTCTTTGGATCGTCCGGCTCGTCCGACGAGTAACGAGGAATGAAAGAGTTCCTGTGTGTCTTTTGCCTTTTGTCCTTCGCGGCACAAAGGCGTGCATGAGCTTGGCATTAATTAATTAGCTCCAGTCATGCTGGACCTTCCTCACCAAGACAGATTGCATTTTTAATTTATTTTTCCAAGTTTTTTTTCTTGTTTCAGCGCGTTGTCTGTCCTCCTTTTGCTGGGTGAGAATTAGAATAATTATTCGAACGCGAGGTTCAATGCCAGCGGGTCTCGAGCGCGGGTTGGAGCAGACCGGACGGCCTGGGGACGACTTCCGTCTGCGAAGTACGTGGAGCGCTCCGAACGACCGCCGTTTGGGCAGATGACTAAGTGTGATTTTTTTTTGGGGGGGGGGGGCACGAACGTTTTTTGGAAAAAATCTAGAGTCTACTTACTTATCTGCTGGACTGAGATTCCCTTGCGCACGTGCGATGCCTTGAAGCCCTCCTTCGCCATCCCAGAGTAGGGATTGGCTCGAGGCCCGGGACACCTGTTGTTGTGCACTCGAAGTGGTGACGCAATGGCGGCGGCAAGAAGTGTCGGGTGGTTCAGGAGGAAGTTGCGTAGGTTTGGAAGAACCTGGGTCGAACCCGAAGCGCTGAGCACACGACTCACATGGCCACACCGCGTCGTGGCGACGTTGTGGCGTCGAGGCACCGCGGCGCGGGACCGCCAGGGGCTGCCAAGCTTATCGGCACACACTTCCGCCACCGCCGCGGGCGAGGTTGTCGTTGTCGCCATCCTGACCCACGACCGCTGCCTCATCCGCTGCGTCAACCGCTGCGTCAACCGCTCCCTCATCCGCTCCTTCATCCGCTGCCTCATCCGCTCCTTCATCCGCTCCCTCATCCGCTCCTTCATCCGCTCCCTCATCCGCTCCCTCACCCGCTCTCTCATCCTCTCCCCGGTAATCCGAGGAGCCTGGTCTCGGGTCCTCGCCGTGACCGCCGAAGTCGCCGGGCCGCCGGAGTGGCTGGGCGAGCTGGGCGAGCTGGGCGAGCTGGGTCTGTGGCGCCTCGCGCTGCTTGCGCCTCGGCCGTCGCGGCAGCGCTCAGTCCCTCGCCAGACGCTGCACGGTGAGGGTGGCGGAGGCCGCCCAAGCCCCGAGGCCCCAGGCGCACGCGTGCCCGAGCGCGGATCACGGCACCTCGCGCCCCGCGCGGCGTGGTCGGTACAGTGCGAAACACAGCGCGAAGCACAGCGCGAAGCACAGCGCGAAGCACGGGCGCCGGGGAAGCCCCCCCCCCCACCCGGCGAAGCAAACCCCAGGGGGCGGCCCTCCTTTCCCTTTTTTTTTTGGGGAAACGCCCCTCGGTCGGCCCCCCACCTCCCTTTCCCTCCCCCTTGTCCCAGGGCCGCCCTTGGGCTGCCCGGGGCCTGGAAAGAAAAGGGCCCAGGGGGGAGGTAAAAAAACGGAGAAACGCCCCGTTTCTCCTTTTGGTTTGTGGAGGGCCCCCGGCGGGGAGGGGACGGGGAACGGGGGGCGGGGCCCCCCAAGGGGTCCCCCAACCGGTTTTGAAAATTTTCGGTGTTACCCCGGGTTTTTTGAAAAAAGTCATTTAAAAAATTTTTCACTAAAATTTTCAAAAAATTTTCAAAAATTTTCAAACCAAAAGTTGAAAAAGGTAACAGGAAAAAACAGTGTTTCAGGTTTTCCAAAAAGGGGGGGGTGAAAGGGGGGAAACCTGCCTTTAAAAATGCCATGATTTCAAATGAAACCCCCTGGTGGAAAATTTAAACTTTTTTTAAAATGTCATTTAAGGGTTTTTTCAAATAGTTATTTATTTCTTTCGATGAAGTCATTTTAAACTTTTTTGAAAGTGAAAATGTTCCAAAAAAATTATGAACAATGGTCAGAAAAGTCCTCTGAAAAAGACAAAAAAAGTCAGAAACGATAAGAAAGTCTCAAGACAATCGAATAAGTCATTTTTGACTTTAAAGTCATTCCGTTCGCCGCTCGAATTGGGGACCCCTTCGCTGGGGGCGAAAGCCCACTGGCGGTCTTCGGCCTAGTCCGCCTAGTCCGCTTAGTCGGCCCAGTCGGCACGCAGCATCTGCTGGAGAGGGGCTTTGTGGTGCAGCGGTTCGTGTTTCTGGGCCCAAAGTGCAGCGACAGCTTAGGGACAGCGCCTGGGGGCTGCGGCGATCACGCCCTTTGCGCGCACGGCTTGGCGCCCGACCAGCCGGGCATAGGCAGTCCCGGCGCACAGGGAAGCGTGGCGTGCTGCCTATCCACTCCACTGCAGGCGCTCCCACGGTTGGAGTGGGCCAGGGACTTGCCGCAGGGATTTGCCTGTCGCGGGCGGTGCAACGCATTCGACGTTCAGCCGCGACTGTCACGCCTGGCCGATCAGCGGCGCAGATCGCCCCGAGCGCGTGAGCGAAGGGCGCCCTCGCGGGGAAGTACCGCGCTGTAGTTTTACACGTGACAGCGCCAGCCGCGCCAGTCGCGCCAGCCAGCATCCACTTGTCCCGCACCCCTCCCTCTTTCGCGCGTCGAGTTGTCTATTAAAGCCCGAGCCGCTGTACACCGCTTTATTGACGCCACTGCCTGGTGTTACGCCAAGGGCGCGGCGGGGCGTGGCGTGGCGGGGCGTGGCGTGGCGGGGTGAGGCGGGGCGGCGCCTGGGGCCGCGGTGATAACATTTTTGTTGACAGGGTCGCGGCGCGGTGGGACACGACCCATAATGCAGCGCACAGGCGCAGCCCGCACTTTGTGCAGCCTCGCGGGCTAGCTTTGGGTCAGCACGGCGGACGCGGCGGTGGACGGCGCCGGCAGTGGCGAGGCGGGGGGCCGGGGCCGGGCCGGTGTGGAGCCGCGGGGCAATTCGTTCAGAATTGGTCGCGTTGGAGAGCGCGGACCTGCCGCGCCGGCCGTGGTGACCACCATGGTGGCGCCGAGGGGTCGGCAGTCAGCCCGAGAGAGGTCGTCCGAAACGCCTCAAACAGAGGTCATCGAGTGCCTCAGTTACGTGGACTTGGAGGTGCCTCTGTCATCGTCGATAGTCGACGGGCACGCAGGGAAACAAAAGGTTCAGCGGCTGTGTTTGTAATGGGTCCTGAGTATCAGGGAAGCGGCTGAGGTGAAGCTCGTTTGAATATCGCTACAGTATGGAACGACGTTGCGCAGAGCTTTTCCACTCTCACGCTGTTGTTGTTGTTGTTGTTGTTGTTGTTGTTGTTGTTGTTGTTGTTGTTGTTGTTTCCGTCGTCGTCCCCTTTCCAGGTGGCTGTCTGGCAGAAGGGAGTGGACGGGGCAGACGGCAAGGTGGACGCCCATTCCATTTATTCATTGACTCGAGCCGATTGGCCGATTGGCCATATC